GTTGCTAAATTCAACGCTATAACACTTTCTCCCTGTTTTCTTCCTTTTTTTCTTCTTTTTGAGACGGAGTCTTTGTAGCCCAGGCTGGAGTTCTGTGGCATAATCTCAGCTCACTGCAACCTCCTCCTGCCGGGTTCAAGTGATTCTCCTGCCTCAGCCTCCCGAGTAGCTGGAATTACAGGCGCCTGCCACCACACCCAGCTAATTTTTGTATTTTTTGTAGAGACCGGGTTTCACCACGTTGGCCAGGCTGGTCTCAAACTCCTGACCTCAGGTGATCTGCTCACCTCGGCCTCCCAAAGTGCTGGAATTACAGGTGTGAGCCTTCGCACCCGGCATGTAGTAAGTTTTGAAATCAAGAAGTGTGGGACCTCCAACTTTGTTCTTTTTCAAGATTGTTTTGTCCGTTTGGGGTCTTAGCACATTTATGCTTAGTGTTTCATTATTGGGTTGCTAAGCTTGTGGGAGTTATTTATATTCTACTGCTCAAGGTCATCACCAAGGTCTGAGTTTTCACAGAAAAAATTTGCAACCTCGGGCATAAATGGGTTAATACAGTTTTTAATGGTAAAGCTTTAGAGGTGTTACCATGAAAATGAAGAACGGAAAAATGTTTTTTATGATTATTGTTTCGTGTTTTATTCAGTGCAGTAAAATGTAAAACAGATAAGAGGTATAAGTTATAGAAAGGAAGATAAAACCTTGTTATTTACAAATGCTATGATTTTGTACCTAAACAATTAAACCGAAAGGAACAAACTGGGCTGGGCGCAGTGGCTTATGGCTATAATCCCAGCACTTAGGGAGGCTGAGCTGGACGGATCACTTGAAGGCAGGAGTTCCAGACCAGCCTGGCCAACATGGTGAAACCCCTTTTCTACTAAAAATACAAAAAAATTAGCCAGGCGTGGTGGTGTGTGCTTGTAATCCCAGCTACTTGGGAGGCTGAGGCGGGAGAATTGCTTGAACTCAGGAGGCAGGGGTTGCAGTGAGCTGAGATCACACCTTTGCACTCCAGCCTGGGCTACAGAGCGAAACTCTATCTGCAAAAAAAAAGGAAAGGAGAAGACTGAAAATGATTATGAAGATTAAAAACCATGAAAATTGATAATTTCTGTATATCAGCAGTAACATAAAAATAGGAAAAAATTGCTTTTCAAATTAAGTGATAAACATGTTCTTATTTTACTCATAATTGTTTTGTTTTGAGACAACGATCTTGGCTGTGTCACCCAGGCTGGAGTGCAGTGTGCAGTGGTGTGATCTTGGCTCACTGCAACCTCTGCTTCACGGGCTCATGTGATCTGCCCACCTCAGCCTCCATGTAGCTGGGACCACAGGTGCACACCACCATGCCTGGCTAATTTTTTGTATTTTGGGTAGAAATGGGGTTTCACCATGTTGGCCAGGCTGGTCTCGAACTCCTGAGCTCAAGGGATCCACCCACCTTGGCCTCCCAGAGTGCTGGGATTATAGGAGTGAGCCACTGCTCCCAGCCTGTTTTGAGTTAATTTTTATGTGGATGTGAAGCAAGGGTACAACTTCATTGTTTTGCCTGTGGCTATCTACTCCTGGCACCATTTGCTGAAAAGACTATTCTTTCCCTCATTGAATTGTGTTGGCACCCTTGTCAAAAATCATTTGACCACAATTATGGATTTATTCCTGGACTCTCAATTCTATTCCACTGATCTAACCTTATGCTAGTACTGTACTGTCTTGATTACTGTGGCTTTGTTTTAGGTGGTGAAGTATGAGTCTTCCTACTTTTTCAGAATTGGTTCCTAGCAATTCCATATGCATGTTAGAATTTGCCTACTAATTTCTACAAAGAAGTCAGCTGGGGCCTGGTGTGGTGGCTCACGCCTGTAATCCCAGCACTTTGGGAGGTGGAGGTGGGTGGATCACCTGAGGTCAGGAGTTCGAGACCAGCCTGGCCAACATGGCGAAACAATAATACATTATTATTGTTTATACTATAGAATTATTTCTTCCTCTTGATGCTACTGTATATGGAATTTTTTCTTCATTTTCAGATTGTTCATTGCAAGTATTAAAAAATGGATTTTTGTCTATCAATCTTGTATTCTACAGCCTTGCTGAACTAGTCATTAGTTATAAAAGGAAGGCTCCTGGTGGCTGTTTTATGCCCTGGGTCTCTCCTACAAACTAGCCAGTCTGCAATCTAGGCTGTATCTTCTTTACATCCTCTTTCCACTTGCCTAGTACCACAACCCCCATTGTTTTTGGGAACACCCTTAGACTGAAACTTGTCACACTCCTGTAAGTGAAGTTAGGTCCTTTGAGATACTCTGTGTTCCTGTTTCTTCCCTTAGGCAAAATATCTGAGCCAGTGTTCTAGTGGTAGAGGTGGGGGCAATGGCAAGCTTTTCTGTGAATGCTACCCCAGCTCTAGGAGGGTGTGGGGCAGGTCAGCAGCCTGGGGTCCTCTTGGCTTGTCTCTCCTGTTGTGGAACCACTGTCCCATGAGCTGGGGAAAAGGGTCTTTGGGTTCCCAGTATTCTCAGTGTGTCATGCCTATGAAAGGGCCCCTTTTCCACAAGCAGGGATTGAGCAGAAGAAGGGAGCCCCTGCCTCTGATGGTACTTGCCCGAGACTTAGCCTTAGCAACAGAAGTCAGGGCAGGATGAGAAATGCTGAAGTTGCATCCCTCCCAGGAATAAAGAGAGCCCTCGGGGCTTAGTGCACTGCTCACACCTGTAATCCTAGTACTGTGGGAGACTGAGGCAGGCAAATCACTTGAGGCCAGGGTTCGAGCCCCTCCTGGCAAATATGGTAAAACCCCATCTCTTGGGCCAGGCACGGTGGCTCACACCTGTAATCCCAGCACTTTGGGAGGCCGAGGCGGGCAGATCACGAGGTCAGGAGATAGAGACCATCCTGGCTAATATGGTGAAATCCCATCTCTACTAAACAAAATAAAAAAATTAGCTGGGCATGGTGGGGGGCGCCCGTAGTCCCAGCTACTCGGGATGCTGAGGCAGGAGAATGGCGTGAACCCAGAAGGCGGAGCTTGCAGTGAGCTGAGATTGTGCCACTGCATTCCAGCCTAGGCGACAGTGTGAAACTCCATCTCAAAAAAAACAAACAAACAAACAAAAAAAACCATCTCTACTGAAAATACAAAAATTAGCTGATTTTGTGGTGGCGTGTACCTGTAATCCCAGCTACTCGGGAG